GCTTTTTTTTTTTTTTTGCTGTACGCGGGCCTCTCACTGTTGTGGCCTCTCCCGTTGCGGAGCACAGGCTGCGGACGCGCAGGCTCAGCGGCCATGGCTCATGGGCCCAGCCGCTCCGCGGCATGTGGGATCTTCCCAGACCGGGGCATGAACCTGTATCCCCTGCATCGGCAGGCAGACTCTCAACCAATGAGCCACCAGGGAAGTCCTGGAACGCTTTCTACAAGTACAGATTTCTGAGCCCTGCTCTAGATCAAATCAGTCAGAATTTCTGGGCACTGGGTATAGCCATCTGTTTTTTCACAAAGCTCCACCAGTAATTCTTTTTTTTTTTTAACATCTTTATTGGAGTATAATTGCTTTACAATGGTGTGTTAGTTTCTGCTTTATAACAAAGTGAATTAGTTATACATATACATATGTTCCCATATCTCTTCCCTCTTGCGTCTCCCTCCCTCCCACCCTCCCTATCCCACCCCTCTAGGTGGTCACAAAGCACCGAGCTGATCTCCCTGTGCTATGCGGCTGCTTCCCGCTAGCTATCTACCTTACGTTTGGTAGTGTATATATGTCCATGCCACTCTCTCACTTTGTCCCAGCTTACCCTTCCCTCTCCCCGTATCCTCAAGTCCATTCTCTAGTAGGTCTGTGTCTTTATTCCCATCTTGCCCCTAGGTTCCACCAGTAATTCTAATGACAGAGTCCGCAGAGTAGACTGGGAACCCCTGATCTGGTCCAATCCGCTTAATCTAAAGATGAGAGGACTGAGGCAAGACAGTGACGACTAGCTTGGTAATCTGTTGAGAGAGCTATTTAGGACCTCTGTCTAGAGACAAAGAAAATTGGATTTGGAGCCAGATCTGAGTTCAAGCCCCAACTCTATACCTTAAGAGCTGTGTATCTTGTCTCTTTCCTTCTTTGGAACTCCATTTTCTTAACTTCAAAGAAAAAAATTAATTCCCTGAATGTCAGGATTACTCCTCATGGGCAGCAAGGCAACAGAGAGAAGTTAATGGAGAATTCACTCTATGTTTTGTGCACATGCGCACGCACACACACGCGCGCACACACACACACACACACTCCGTAGTAACAGCTTAACTGAAATTTTGCGATCCTTGCACCCCCAAATTTCAAAGCAATTTAAAAGCCTTGAAGTTTCATTACCCCCATTTTACAGGTGAAGAAATGGAAAGGCACTCGAAGCGGCTCTGCTCCTCACTTTGTGAAGGTGAGTGGTGTTTGCTTTCCACGTGGACAGACAGAAATACACAAGGGGTTTGCCACCAACTGGGTTCTGGATGCAGAACTTCAGCTGGCAAGCTGACTTCATTCATGGAGACCAGTTGGGTGGGGCTGGGACCCCAGAGTTTTCTACTCCTGGAGGCTGTCTAACCTCCACCAGTGTGATCCCACCAAGGAAAAGGGGAAGATCCCTAAAATTCTGTATCCCTAAGGATAAAGGGAAAACTTAGGCATGGTCTCAAATGCTTAGTTAGGTGAGGGAGAACATCACTTAGGTAATTATAAAATGATGGAGTAGAGCTATAACATAGAGATCCCAGTTAAGTGGGGTTCCAGAAATGAGAGGTTGGGTGGTTGGATGTTCAGATAAAGCTTCCTGGGAAAAAGTAATGATCCCTGAGCTGAGTCTTAAAAGATAAGGAGGATCAGCTCTGGATGTAGAGATGAGGCAAAGAAGATGAAACCTTTGAGATGTCCTGGGACCCTTTAGCTAGGATCCTATCTCTGGTTGGAGCAACCATCAGTGCATTTTGTATACATATACATTAAGACATATATTATTGTTTTGTGCTTTTTCTTCAATCTGTACATTTTTCCATAAATTATGTTTTTATCTCAGTGTGGTTTTAAGATTTCTCCACATTGATACATATAAGTTAAATCTATTCCTGTTTAACTCCCACAAGCCTATTGACATTGGCTAATGTTGGGCCATTACAAACAGTCCAGGAGAGCATGCACGTTTGTGCATGTCTCCTTGTGTACATGTGTGAGAGTTTTCAAAACACCAAGAAGTAGAATTACTAGGTGTTATGGACTGAATGTTTGTGTCCCTCCAAAACTTATATGTTGAATCCCTAATCCCGAATGTAATGGTATTTGGAAGTGGGGCCTTTGGGAGGTAATTAGGTTTAGATAAAGTCCTAAGGGTGGGGCCCTCATGATGGAATTAGTGCCCTTATAAGAAGAGACTAGACAACTTGCACTCTATCTCTCTCCACCACATAAGGATAAAGCAAGAAGGCATCCATCAGCAAGTCTAAAAGTAGGCCGTCACCAGAATCCAACCATGCTGGCACCCTGATCTTGGACTTCCCAGCCTCCAGAACTGCAAGAAATAAATATCTGTTGTTTAAGCAACCCAGCCTATGGTGCTTTGTTGTAGCAGCCCAAGCAGATTAAGACACTAGGGTATATACATTTGTAGTTAACTGCCAAATTGTCCTCCAAATTTTCAATTTACATTTCCACCAGCAGAACCTCACCAACATATGATATAATCAAAATTTTTTTCATCCAAGTTGCACTTTACGAAGACCTTCATCATCCTCACCAGCCACAGGTAGGTCCCAAACATCTAAACTTCTCTTAAAGGAAGGAGAAAGAGCATTTACTCAGTTCTAGGTGCTGCACATTTATTGCCTCTTAGAACCCTCCAACAGAGATATTACATATACCTTAGAATGAGAAAACAGTCTGAGAGAGGTGAAGTGACTTGCCTGAAGTTACACAGCAGAAAGTGGTGGAACCCAGACTTAAAACCAGGTCTGCATGCCGTTAATGTTCATATTCTTTTCACTGTTTTATACATTCGACTAATATTTATTGAGCACTGATTACATACCAGACCCTGGAGGTACAAAAATGAATCACAGGGCCATGCTTAGCACATAGTAGGACTCAATAAACATTTGTTGAATGAATATTGAATCAAGGAGCTCAAAGCCCACAGGAGAGACGGACACATAAAAAATATGTGCAGTTGAGACTTCTCTGGCAGTCCAGTGGTTAAGACTTCACCTTCCAGTGCAGGGGGTGTGGGTTCGATCCCTGGTCGGGAGCTAGGATCCCACATGCCTTGCGGCCAAAAAACCAAAACTTAAAACAGAAGCAATATTGTAACAAATTCAATGAAGACTTTAAAAAAAATGTGCAAAAGAATAGTGAAACGCTGTGATGGATGTAAGCTCCAGTGCAGCCAGCACAAAGTAGGGAGAAGTTTATTTTCCTCTGAGTCATCTGAGTCACAAGGGAAGGCTTTACACCCGAGATAGTTTTTGTCAAACACAAAAAGAGGAAATGAGTTCTAGGCAGAGGGAACAAGGGAAAAGGCACAGGAGTGTAAACAATGTTATACTTTCTGGAAATTACACTACTTCTGGTTGCCTTAAAGTTGCTTCCTTCTAGTATCGAGGCAAGGCATCTAGCTCAACTCAATTAACTGATCCTTCATTAAACGCCTGCTGTGTGCCAGGCTCTGTGTGAGATGCTTTATATGCATTATCTCATTGAATCCTTGAAGCTTTTTCTTTCTCCCTACACAGATGAGAAAATTGAGACTTGGGGAGGTGAAGAGTCCAACCCTGGAATATATTCAAATCTTCTGTTCTTTCTACTTCTTGCCATCTCCCCCAGAGGCCAACCACTGCTGCACTCTCCCTTCCCAGGTCTTACTCTAGTGGAAAGATGTCCTCCCAACAAACCTCAAGACCCACAGCGAATAGTTAACCCTTTGGATCAGGAGACTGGCCACTTCATTGCTTCTTTTCCTCCTTGGGAAACTGGAGAGGCGAACGCATATAGAGTCATGGAGTTTTCAATCCTTGTCCAGACACCAACTATTATCCTATTCATCATTCATGCATTTAACAAATTCATGCAGACTTTGGAGATATTGTGGGCTCAGTTCCAGACAAATGCAATATAGCCAATATAGCAAAGCAAGTCACACCAATGTTTTGGTTTCCCAGTACATATAAAAGTTGTGTTTACACTATACTGTAGTCTATTAAGTGTGCAATAGCATTATGTCTAAAAAAAAAACAGTGTATGTACCTTAATTTTAAAACACTTTATTGCTAAAAATGCTAATCATCATCTAAGCCTTCAGTGAATCATAACAGTAACATCAAAGATCACTGATCACAGATCACCATAACAAATATAATAATGATGAAAAAGTTTGAAATACTGTGATTATTGCTGAAATGTGACAGAGACATGAAGTGAACAAATGCTGTCAGAAAAATGGTGCCAAAACCTTCAATTTGTAAAAAACAAAAACATAAGCAAAAAACAAAACACCATCTGTGAAGCATGATAAAGCCAAGTGCAATAAAATGAGGTATGCCCGTATTTACTGAGCAATTACTATGTGCCAGGCAATATTCTCAGAACTGTGGATTCAAAATTGAATAAGACAGGCAAGATTCCCCCTCTCATGAAGGTTAAATGATAGTGACTTCTCAGCACTAAAAACACAGGTTTTGAGAGGTGATATGGCTTGTCCAAGGTCACACCCCTATTTTGTTACACAGTTAGGACTCACACCCAAGTCTACCTGTCTCCCAGTACAAAGCGCTTTCTCACAGGTGATGGTCCTAACCTTTCCCTCACCTCCCTCCTGCTTTGTCTCTCCCCAGACTCTGTCCTGCAGGATGATGCCAGAGAACTTCACTTGGGCCAGGGGTGCCCCTACGGAGTTCATCCTCCTGGGCATCACAGATCGCTGGTACCTGCACCTGACCCTCATCCTGATCTTCCTGACCGTCTACCTGGTGAGCCTGCTGGGAAATGTGGGCATGGTGCTGCTAGTCTACGCGGTCGCCCAGCTCCACACACCCATGTACTTCTTCCTGGTCAACCTCTCCCTGCTGGATGCCTGCTATTCCTCAGCCATCAGAACCAAGATGCTCGTGGACCAGCTGTTGCCCTGCATCTCCATCCCTTACGCAGCCTGTTTCCTCCAGATGTTTTTGTTTACAGGGCTGGCGGATGCCAAGTGTTGCCTGTTGACATCCATGGCCTATGGCCGCGATGTGGCCATCGGAAACCCTCTTCTCTACGCCACTGCCGTGTCGCGGCGTCTGTGTCTGGTCTTTCTGGCAGCATCAGGCCTGGGTGCGGCAGTGAGTGCCGTGGTCCACACGACCTTCACCTTCCACCTGAGCTTCTGCGGCTCTCGGGAGGTGAACAGCTTCCTCTGCGATATCCCTCCACTGCTGGCCATCTCCTGCAACGACACCAGTCTCAGTGAACTTCTCCCCTTCGTCTTCTGTGGCTTCATCCAGACAGCCACCGCGTTGGCTTTGCCGTGTCCTCGGGTTCATTGCCGGAGCCGTGATCGGCATGCACTCGGCCAAGGGCCGGTGGCGAGCAGCCTCTACCTGTGGCTCCCACCTCACGGCTGTGGCTGTGCTTTACGGGACACTCATTTTCATGAACCTGTGCCCCAGCTCCAGCTACACCCTGGACACTGACAAAATGGCATCTGTGTTCTACACCCTTGTCATCCCAGCTCTCAACCCGCTCACCTACAGCCTCCGCAACAAAGTGGTCAGGGAGGTGCTCGGAAGGAACTGCAAGCACTGCTGCTGTCCGAGGCCGGCGCACGAGTGCGAGGTCTGAGAGGCTGGTTAGGACTGACTCTGAAGAGATGAGGAGAGCTCTTCCCGGGCCCGGTCACTGTGGGTAAAGGTGGAGGTTCCTCTGGCTGGGTGTCTCTTGTCATTGTTTGAGGGGGAGAAACTGAAGCTTACAGACAGGAGACAGGAACCTGGAGTAATCTAGCCCCAGCGCCAGAATCAAGATCAAGTTAATCTGCTGTTGAGATGCCTTAGGTTCCTCGATGTTCAAAACATGGAAGTTCCTGCATGTCACCAGGTGCAGTAACTAAGTTGATTTGCCACTGGAACTTCTAAGAGGATGATTCCCAGAAACACCAGATAAGAGCCGTATTGGCTGCAAGTGTTTCTAGATTCTTGCTCTTCTGAGGTCCTTCATGACCAGTGAGTCTGCTTCTGCTCACCTCGACCCCAAGAGAACATCTTCAGTACCCACTCATGCCAAAGAGTGGGATGGAATCTGGTGAGGCAAATATCTTTCCCTGTTAGCCTACATATTCCATCTCTCAGGGCAATGGCCAAGCAGCACCAGAACATACATGAGCTCGTTCCTAAAATCCTATAGTTGGGTTAGAATTTGACCAAGATTAATTTATTTCAGGGCTGTGATAGAGATTAGGAAAGGATCAGAACTATGGTTATGGTTAGAATATGGTTAGCGTTCATGTTATGGCTAAGACTAGGGTTAGAGTTAGGGTAAAGCCAGGGTTAGGTTACAAATGGACAAATTTAGGATTGAATTAAAATTATGTAAATTTTACCATTTGGATTGATTCTAATTAATAATGGATTTGGGATAAATTTAGGAGTAAGGGTTTGGATAAATTTGAGCTCTTATTAGAAATATTAGAAATAACACATACACACTACTATATATAAAACAGATAGCCAGCAAGGACCTACTATATAGCACAGAGAACTATACCCAATATTTTGTAATAAGCTATAAGGGGAAAGAATCTGAAAAAGAATGTGTGTGTAACTGAATCACTTTGCTGTACACCTGAAACTAACACAACATTGTAAATCAACTGTACTTCAATATAAAAAAAAGAAATGTTAGAAATATTTTACAGTTAGTGTTAAAGGGCAGGACTACTTAAGAAGAGAATTCGGGTTTCTTTTTTTGTTGCTAGATTAAATTTGAGTTAGAGTTTAGCTCACGTCAGAGCTCTGTTTGATTTTAGTTAAGTTGGTATGTGGGTAACGTTTGTGATAAGCTTGAGTCACAGTCTAGCTATTATTACAGTTAGCCTAGGTTCAGAACTAGGTGAAAGTAAGGCATAAGAAGAGTATTCTGAGTATCAAATCAACATGTCTGGGGTCACTTTAAGACGTATTTAGGGTTATGGATAATGGTTGATGTTTCTTAAAGCTTAAGAGTAGGAGCTAGGGCTTCCCTGGTGGCGCAGTGGTTGAGAGTCCGCCTGCCGATGCAGGGGACACGGGTTCGTGCCCCGGTCCGGGAAGATCCCGCATGCCGCAGAGCGGCTGGGCCCGTGAGCCATGGCTGCTGAGCCTGAGCTCCGCAACTGGAGGGACCACAGCAGTGAGAGGCCCACGTACCAAAAAAAAAAAAAAAAGAGTAGGAGCTAATTATTGGTGGATTTAAGTTTCATTGAGGGTTATGAGTTTGCTCAGATTAGCGCGTGGTCAGGTAGTGTGGACTGCTTTGTGTTAAGATTACGACATCTAGAGGCAGAGCTGGGGTCTGGAGAGGAAGTTCCATAAACCTCTTGGGCAAAGGCAACCACAGTGCTCCAGGTCATGCTGGACCCTTCAGATCCAGTACTCTTGGGATTTTTGTATACCCAGAGTTTACAAATTTGACAGATTTTCTTTGTCTCCCTGACTCAGGTGCACATGGGCAAGGCCCAAGGCACTGCATTCTGCCCATGAAGCCCCTTCATGCAAGAGCAGGGCAGGAGTGGACCCCAGGAGTTATGATAGGTGCTTCCAAGGAGAGGTGGAGCATGGTCAGAGTAGATGTCAGCTCCTGTCTCATCCCCTTTCCAGCTCCTCCTAATTATGGCTGCGATGAGGCCTGGGGTGGCAAGGTATGGGACTCAAACAGTGCTTCATTGTCACCCCCTAATAGGTTCCCCATGGAGTCTGTTCCTTGGGCCCCAGCCAGGGGCTGGCCTCACCACTCCAACTTCCTTTCAAGGAGAAATCAGCTGCTGGGTACTTAGACTGCAGGAAAACTGAAGGTTCATCCCAGCTCCCCGGGGAGGTGATGCCCCTTGTTACCAGAACTGGGTCCCTCCTTAGTAACTATGGTCTTCTTGGAGGTCCCAGACTAATGGAGAGAGGGATGTGGACTATACCATCTCCACAATTCTTAGAGAATTTTTACGTTTCTTGACAGGGTCACCAACTTGTCCTGGTGTGCCCAGAACTGTCCTAGTTTTTAAAACTCTAACTCCCATGTCCAGAAAACCTCCTCCGTCCTGGGCAAACCAGGATGTTTGGTCACCGTATTACCTGATGAGCCTGCACGTTGAGAGCAGAGGGTACGATATCCCAAACTCGACACGTTTTGCCAAAGGCTTAAACGAATTAAAACCCCTTCTCCCACCACAAGTTTTTGGTTTTGTTTTTATAAATTTATTTATTTATTTATTTACTTATTTATTTATTTTCGGCTGCAATGGGTCTTCGTTGCTGCGCACGGGCTTTCTCTAGTTGCAGCCAGTGGGGGCTACTCTTCATTGCGATGCGTGCGCTTCTCATTGCGGTGGCTTCTCATTGCCGAACACGGGCTCTAGGCTCGTGGGCTTCAGTAGTTGTGGCTCGCAGCCTCAGTAGTTGTGGCGCACAGGCTTGGTTGCTCTGCGGCATGTGAGATCTTCCCGGACCAGGACTCGAAACCGTGTCCCCTGCATGGGCAGGCAGATTCTCAACCACTGCGCCACCAGGGAAGTCCCCACCCCCGAGTGTTTATAATCCTTTCCCAGTTCTTTCCTCCTATCACCATGACAACTCATATGCCATGACAGTGGTTGGAGACGTTATCAGAAGAGTTGGCAACTATGGGACTGAGAATGGAAGGTTTGCCCCCAATTCAATGATGTTTATACTCAGAGACCTCCTCTGTGGTCTTTTCTTCTTGTTATGAATTCTTGGGCTCTTATGACATACAGTTCTCACCACAATCAAGGGAAAGTTTCCAGAGGCACATGGCCCCTTCCATCATCTTGGCCCTACAGGGTGTACATGGGTCCTTCCACATGTTTAGCATCTATGGAGCAGTCAGATACAATAATCACATAAATCCTACACATTCATCAGAGGAAACATGAAGTTTCAGGCTGCTATGCTGGACCTAGTTGATAGATAAGAAAATAAACAAGAGGGAAGGGGAGGCACTGGAAGACAATAACAGAGCCCAACCTGGAGGATAAAGGAAGAGAAACAGTCAGACCCTCGTTCCCAAGGCGAGAGGCCCAGGAAAGCTCCCCAATTCTGATCAAATATTTCCCTTTTTAAATCTCCTTCAACACCATCTACTAAGACAAGCAATTAGGACAAAAGCAGGTTTGGGATGGGGAAGACTGGGGTACTTATTGCACAAAATCAGTTGGACCCTGCAGCATGGGTGGGAATGGAAAGAAAGGGGTATTCCGTGGGGGGAAAACAAGCACACACAACGGTACAGAGGTAAAATGAGCTCGATGTGCACAAAAGGCTCTAAGGAGACCAATTTAACTGGCTAGAGATAGATGTGTTGGGAAAGAAGTGGAGAGAAGTTTGAAGATTGAAGATCTGGGGATGGGAAGGACACCCTACGGGCTGGATATCAGGTAGGGGAGTTGGGACTTTATTCAGTAGGCGGCAGGGAATCATTGAAAGTTCATACGTTCAAAATCACCCTTCATGGTTGTTCTGACGCTGAGTCATGCAAAGCCATTCCCACCTGGAATGCTACAAACACACACGGGAACACATAGCCCCTGCAACACAGACCCAATCCCCTATCGGAAACCTTCATGCACAAAGAAGCACTCTCAGGTTGTCCCTGCCGTCCACACAGACAGGGGCACAGCTGCACATTCAGACACACACTCAAGCTCATAGACGCATTTTGTTTGACAGAGACATGATCATTTCACACCCAGGCATACAATCTCACACACACACACACACACACACACACACACACACACACACCCCACAGTCACTCAGGCATATTATTGCACAGTCCTCAGAGGCACAATCCTTCCCACACTCTTACACTTCCTACAAAAAGCCTCAGCAACAGCTGAGGGGACAAGACAGTTGGCTCCAGAAGCTACTGCTGTAAACCCCGGACTTGGGGTTCAGGAGTCAGCTCTGGCCTCCACAAGACAGGGACCGGGGAGCAGCAGTTTCATGATGCACGGGGTTCCTGAGGGCCCCCGAGTTGAAGGTGGCACCAACCACCCCTACCCCCATCAAACTGGGCTCTAGAGAGAAAGAATAACAAACCCCAGAGCCAAGCTACCTTCCACCCCAGGAATGAGGGCCAGGGGAAGGGGTGCTGTCTCTGGGAGAAGCTAAGGTACTCCCAAGGCCCCAAACCCCATAACTGTGGCCAATAGCTCCCTCCCCAGACCCTTCAGTGACGGGCTACACTTGGTCCTCACTGCTGCTCCCTCCTGTGATGTGGAGAAGCCAGAAGGAACACTTGCGGCAAGTGGCCAGGCTGGAGAGTGTACGAATCTGTCCTCTTGAACGTGGCTGTGGGCATGAGCTGTACATGTGAGTGTGAGAGCGGGTGCTGTTTGTGTGAGGCTGAGACTGTGCGTCCCCATCACTGTCCGATAGCATCACTGGGGGAGGACGAGGTGGTGTGTATATGGACGTGCTCCTCTAGGGTGGCACATCTCTGCTGTGACCCAGCATGAGCCTATGTGAGTGTAGCCATGTGTGTGAAGTTGAGAGGCCGTGGACCCCTGGGGCTGTGCCGGAAGATGTGATTGTGTGACGGGGTGTGACAGGGTGGGCCGGGATGGGGTGGACGGG